TAGAAGAAATTTATTTACCACAAAAGTCAATGAGATACAATCAGATTTTAATACAGAAATGGTCAGTTACTTAGAAATTTATTAGAAAGTCATTAAGAGACTATAAAATTGGAATACAGAAATGGCTAGTTATATTGTATACTATGGAAATGATATGTAAATAAGAGTTGACTAAAACAAATGGGTTTATAATGATGACCTTTGAATGTTAATGGTGGTGTAAGATATGTGAGGAGAAAGATTAATGTAGTGGTTGTCATGTGTATACAATAAGTAAGGTGATGTCTTTAGATAGATGGGTAGTTAGCTACACAGACAGATATATTCTAACTTACTCAATTTAAACTGGGAATTTGACCAAACAGGTATGAATTTGAATTTTATAAAGAGACACAGTTCTTTATTTAAATCTTTCATAAATATACTCTATAGTTTTAAGCATCCAGAGCTGACAAGAAAAGTATGCCTAATCTTTAGAACAAAGGGAAAACGTAGGCCAAATCATGTAAACATTAATAGCATGCATGTACATGTAAAAGAGCACATAAATCGATGAAGAATGGGCGGAAATGTCACTGTCCAGGCAAAATTCTCCTTGCTTGTGTTGTGCATGTAAAATATTACCAAATTTCTTTCTCAATTTGATCAAACTATTGTGTTGACGAGATACAAACTCCATTTCATTTCATTTTATAGTTTTAAACCCTTTGTCATTCCTCGCAGTGTTTCGTTTGATTAGACGTAATCCCACTGAAAAAGGGATTTCTCAGGCCATTGCTTCAGGAATATGCAGAGCATAGTGTCTGTAATAGACATTTTCAAGCTGATTATATATGTATATGGTTACATATTTACTGGTGCTGATTTTGAGTTTTAAATAGTTGGCTTTAAGTACTGGTAGACTTGATTACAACTATGTTATATACAAACAATATACTGCTTACTAAGTGACACACTACCATATTTCCGTAACAATAGTTTGATTATTTTATGAATCAAGTAGTAATTTGATGGGTTGCCATCATGTGATGTTGATGTATGTTACAGGAAAACAACAGGAAATAACTACTTGGAATTATATCTTTAAATTGATATGTTATTCATAAAATTTATTTAACCCATTAACCGTTATAACTGTTATAACTGTCATAATTGTGTGGTTTTAGAATAATTAGGTTAGGAGTTGTTGACCCTTTATTAAGATAGGTAACAACAGGGGTTCACTTTAAAATCTTGCCAGCTAGACAATATTTTTGCATATTTGATAAACTCAACATTTAAAACAGGAAAAATGTTTGAAAATAGAAGAACTTTTATTATACGCCTACATTTTATGTCCTTCTCAAAGTTGCTTATGGTCTCCCTCTTTTTCATGTTGTCCATCTTAAGGGTATTTTTATAATGTTTTCCTCCTGTCCATTTCCATCTTTTCTTTTATAAACTTACGAATTGTTAGATGGTTATTTACTGACCAGAAGAACTTTCATTTTATTTGTATGTAAGTGTTTTGAAAACTTGCTAGATTGTTAAAAGTTTGTAGTGTTTATGCTTTAATTTTCAAAAACTATGTTATTTCACATGTATATTGACTGACTAGTATATTGTCAGCAAGGTCAAGTTCTATACCAGTCAATCTGAACTGGGAAATAAAATCATGTACTATTAAAATGTGAGCTCCGGTATATAAACAGAAAAGTTTACCTAGTTTAAATTGAGGGATAATTTCCACTGATGTGTGAATTAAACAGTGGTAATAGAAATAACCAATGAACACTTCTATATGATTGATGTGTAGATTTTTTACACCTTAAATTGCTCGAGATAAATGGGTGAAATTCTATTGAAAATCAAATTGATTCTTTTTATCTTAATTTCCTTTAAAGTATATTGAATGTCAAACTTTGTAATTAAAATTCCACTTATATACTGTTTGACACCATTTTGAATATATCAAGCGTGTAGGGTAAGTGTATAATTAAATAAATAAGAAGTTGTATGTTATAGATGGTTGACATTTTTATTTGGTTAAGTATGTTTGTAGGGTGAAAAGGTTAAATCTTTTGGGTGTCATATATTTCTTATGATAATATTGATATGATACAGATTTCTAGTTGATATTAAATTATAGATTTCTGTTAGTGAATTACTTTAAAGTAACGATGCACAATTGGTTATTTTTTACTAAAATATCAAATTTCTTACAACTTAATCAACGCCAATATGTACTCTGATTGATTATTTAACATTTAATTAAGAAAACAAAAACAAAATACCTACACTAGATTATTTCGTGGCTTGGATGCAATCAGAATTAAAACAGACCTATGTGGACAACAAAATGACAGCAGTGCTTATGTTGATGTAGTGAGCAGCATAAATCAGTGAAATTTCAATTCCTCATAACTTTGTAAATACTGAACAGAATTAAACCATTTTTTGGACTGATATTCTTATTAGAGATTCCATCTATTTATACTCTTTGTTACTAAGCAATGTTTCGACCAGCATTCTGTAGTCTTTTATCAAGCAAATGATCCGATACATTAATAAAACAAATGATGGGAGATTATATACATTCATGATAACATAAATTTATGGATTTATTTACTACTCCTGACTTTATTTCATGCTATGTTTCAAATCTCTTACAGGTAGAAAATCCATAAAGTTGTGTTATTATGAATGTTATACCACTACTATACTAAATTGTCATTTAATGTGAACAACAATAACAACAACTTAGTTAATGATAACCAATCAAAGACATGACACTAATTACCTACTAATTAACATAAAGTATAATGAACATGATGAATGTTGTGCCAAACATGTTATAAGTTTGTAACATTCCAACTTTTTAATTGGCTATATTAATGAACAGATTCCAATAATAACATACAGTATAATAACATGTGAAATGAATGAAGGTGTTGGCTAGAAATCACTTGTATAAAGAAAGAAATAAGACATACATGGCCCCATTGATGGGTTATGAATATATTTTACATACCAGTAAATCAAATAAGAATACATACACTAGGTCCATTCATTGATATATTTTAACCAAATCTGTTGAAGTGACAAAGAACAAACTGTTAGTTATTAAAGAAATGAATGATGTTCTGGCCCTTCTAGGAGGGCTTAGCTCAATTTCATTATTAGGAGGTTCTAGGTATGTCACAGGCAATTTAAAAATTGTATCATCGTTATCAGGAATAAAGGTTCATAATTGCCCACACTGTATGTATACCCATGTTCAATTCTGATTCATTACAAGGACTAGTTTGACAAATTATGTCCCACAGTGGCAAATATTCGATCGGATGTTTTGCATCCAGTTAGCTGAAGACCCCTACGTGCAAGCAAATTGTTGAAATAAACCATGTGTTAGTCCCATAATGACCTAGTTTGTGTTGAGTAATCTGTTAAACTTTCTCTCTCTCTCTCTCTCTCTCTCTGTGTTAAATATTGTCACCATCTGTTTGTCACTTACATTTTAATGAGTTCAACAGTGGCGAAAAAGGGACACCCATTACCTGGTAGCTTTCATGTTACCAAGAATATTAATTTGACTACAGAAAATATTCAAAGGGGAAATATCAGTTCAGTTCAGTTCACTCAAATTTCAAAGAGGAAGAACGCTGTATTTGTGTAGGAAGCAGTTATGTATTTACGACAAAGTGTCGTCAATGTCAATATCCTTTAAACGGGAATGTTGTACGTATTATTCACTAACAACAATATACTTACCATATTCAATAGAATACCAATAGACCCCCATGCCCTTTGATGTTTCTACCCACACATATACAATATCATCAGTACAAGTAAATATAATAAAAAATGGACAATGGCGTTTGAATTGTACTCAAGCAAAAGGAACAAATTGTGTGGAACTAAACAAAAAAAAGTATTGAATTTTGTGAGAAAATTTACTGGCCCATTAATTTTCGTTCAAACTGTCGAATTGTGAATTAAGAGGAGTAGAGAGTTCAAGAGTTCCCATTCATTTAAATATTTGAGTTGTATTTACCGGTGAAATTTATCAAATATTGTTTAACTAAATACCGGTATACTTAATGTGCACAATTCAAAAAATCAAACCTTCACAAAAGAAAATGGAAGAGGTTCAAATATAAAGCAGCATTGTCACTTAAAACTCAAAAATTAAATGTAATTACTAATTACCATCATATACAAAACCACCCACAATTCCCTTTATTATAAAAAAAAAATCAAGAATTAGCCTTCTTCAAGCAAATCATTTTCCATGAGAATCTTGGTTACCTCTTGGAAAACTGTTATAATCTACAAGTTGTAATAAATCTTAAAGACATCTATGTCTCGGACATGAATTGGAAGATTAGTCACAAGTTTTGCATACAATTTAATTTGAACAACTCTAATACAATTGTATATTCAAACAGCGACAAATCTTAAATTATAGTTTTACTGACTAGAAATGGTTTTCAAAACACTTCAATGTCTTTTAATTGATTAGAAATCAAATTGTATAAAATGTTTTTCACATTCAGATTCAGCTGCTGTTGGTCTGAATAATTGTAATTGATAATGGTTTAGTTGTTGATCTGAATAATTAATATAGTTTAGCTGTTGATCTAAATAATTGATAATGGTTTAGCTGTCAATCTGAATAATTGTAATTGACATTGGTTCAGTTGTTTGATGTAACATATAGAATAACATATAAAAAATAACATCAACAATAATATTATTAATATTATAAACACCAGACTGGAAGTCTTCAAAAATGTGACTCAACTTTACAATTAAATGATCAAATTGATGTTCTTTCTTTATTGTTTTTTATAAAAAAAAAAAGGAAATTTGTACCGCGTGTGTGCTAAGTGTGATACATGATGTGTAGTATAATAGACATGACAAGAAAGGATGGACATGTTATGTTATGGTTGATATTTTCTATATAGTATAAACTATAAAGTCATCATATTTCTACATGATTTATTTCTTTATAATAGGAGTACAAGATGGCGTCAGTACAAGATGGAGAAGTACCCATTTGGATGTCACAGTTAGCTAACCTGACCAATCAAAAATCTGCTAACAAGATCAGTTCGGAGAGATTGGAGCATGAAGCCAGTAAGAAAATTGCATATTAATTTTTTGAACATCTGATGTTTCGATAAGTAGATAAGATATGAAAGAGATTATTTTGGGTGTCTGATTGTTGAACTTTGGGATAGTATTTATTTAAAAATATTTATCCTGTAGGTAATACATTGATTTATATATTTGAATTAATGGCTTTCATCTTTTATTCACTTTGTGACTCAAGTTTTATTGTATAAAGACTAAAAGTTAGTACATGACTGATGGTTTTTTTTTGACAAGTATTGAGCCAACAATACGTAACCTCAGAACTTGTTAAATGACTGAGTTGCTCCCAGGCATTAAGTATATATCAATATCACTCCAGACGCAAGAATGGATCTAAAAGTTTTATGATGCACTTTCTCAAGGACAGGTTAGGTTATTTACTTATTGCTGCGGGACAAGTTTCAGGTGATAATGTTTTTTAAACAAATACAAAGCTGCTAGCTGCCGGAGTATTATATTTAGTTTAAAAACAAAATTACAGCAGGCAAGGTCTGTGTAAGTTCTTTCATATTTCTTTTTTCTTGTAGGTCAAGATGGTTCAGCAGTTAAAGGGATTAGTAGAAAACGTCCCGGTACCGGTCGCCGTCTGCCAAGTGTTCCAACTAGTTATGGTGATACTAGTTCTGTAAGAAGCGAATCTAGTCATTTGTCAGGAGAAGATACTCCTAGACTTAATGTTAATGAACGTTGTAAAACCGTCACAATATCCAGTCCTGCAGTTGTGAGGAACTCGCATCCAAATATCAGCAGCATGTCCAGAACTCACAGTGATAGTGGTTCAGAGTCTGGCAAGGATAAAAAATCTTACAGTGTTTGTGACTCGTCGCGATCAATGGGTAGTTTGGATACTCAAACACTTTTAAAAGACACTGAAACTGTCATGGCTGCCATGGAGGCACGGATGGCTACGAAGCGTATTAATGGACATAGTTTTGAGTATGATTCAGACACTGATGTTTCTAGTACCGTTGCTCTGGTGAATGGAAATGAAAGTTACAAACGAAATTCATTTGACTATAAAAGTCCTAGAAATTGTTTATCGGAAAAGAAAACTTCTAGCCCCCGCGATTCTTATCAATCTAGTTGTACAACATCTAGTCCAAGAGACACACCCAGTCCAACAGAACGATCTAGTTATAGTAAACCACCATCAGGTCCTAGTGCTAAAAAACCACCACTTCGCACCAAATCATTGACAAGCACACCACGATCTAAAAGTTTGATGCAAAGACACAGTCTTGGTGACTTTGGCGATTCAGAGAGCGTCAGAACGGATTCGGACACAGAGAGTTTGAAGAGCCAAAACAAGGCACCTATGAGTCATACAAGACCAAATCGATCTTTTCTACTACGTAGAAGTAGAGCGATGGGTTCTGAAACTACAACTACACCCAGTGACACCACTCGCTCTTCATCATCTAGTATTACAACCTCCTCAGCCCGCTCTGCAACCACTAGTAAATCAACCTCTCGTCCTAATACCAGCAGAACTGATGCCAGTCTTGGAGCTCACATTGTGAAAAAGAGTCAAGCGAATGCAAAAGCTTCACAATCAATCCAAAGGGATACTAATTCCCGTAAAAGTCTGAATGTGAAATCATCGACGAATTCATCTAAAACAGATCTGACAAGAAGTGATGGTGGACGCCATAGTCTGAGATTGACGAGAACTGCTTCAGGACCAGCACCAGTTGAAAATAGCAAACGCCGGGCGGATCTTAAAACATTGAAATCCCAGCTAAAGAAGACAGACCTGTCAGTGAAAGGAAGTAAAGCTGGTAGCCAGTCTCAACCGGCCAGTCGGACGAATTCGCCTAAAACCGCTGCATGGAAAAGGCGGAAGGATTACGACCCAAGGAAGGCAGTAGCAGACGCCAAGGCTAAATCTAAAGCTGCAAAAACTAAGACAAATGACGAGCATAACACAACCTCTCTCAGTAGAATGACACGCTCCTCATCATTTACAACTGCCGCAGAACTATCTGGTCGTGTGAGGAAGGGAACATATAGATCTGAATCCACATCAAGTGTAGAAGATGTGAGTGCAATAGCCAATGAGGCCATAGACAATTTTAATGAGGATGCTGTACGCTGTGCTTTCATTCCTATTGGTAATACTCTTCGTAGTGATCGGATGTCTCATAGTGCCGATGAAGAGGAGTTTTCCTCCCATTCAGCACAGGTAAGTTATCTATTATATACGTACTACTGGTATATATTGTTTGTGTGTAGTATTGGGTGGACTATTGTGTGTGTTAATCGTAGCCTAGAGTTCAGCAAGTTTGCCCAATTATTTTTTATTTTCTTTCATCACGCTTTTAATACGCCATATAACCACAGATAAATTTTTACGCTGTTTTGGTTGGATTTTTAAGTTTAGTATCTAAAAAGACCGGAAATACTACGTAGAGCTAGAGGTCAAATTTTACTATGATTCATTTCTTAGAGAAGATTACCTTTTAGATATATTTGATCACTTGGTACAATTTTGCGGTTGATGGGATGTGAAAGAAATCTAAATTTCTATGTTGACATATTTGTTATGAGATGATTTATAGCATCCATTATCGATATCAAAAATTTGGATGTATTTTTTAGATGTATTCAATCATCAGTACAATATTTTCGTTTTGGTTTTATAGGATCCGAAAGAAATCTAAATTTTTGTGTTATCTACATTGTACCTACTAAAGTTGATTTATAGCATCCATTATCAATAATAAAAATTAGTTTCCTTTTCATTTATTATCAATTTATAAGCAAAAATTACTGTTTAGATGTATGTGATCAATTTATACAATTTTCCTATTTTTGAAAGAAGTTTAGATTTCTATGTTGTCTTACTAGGTGATTTATGGCATCCATTATTTATATCAAAAATTTAGTTTTCTTTTCATTTATTATTAATTTTGTTCCATAATATTTTATTTTAGTTTTATTATGTTTTCATCATCATAATTATGTTTTATTTTTTTTTATTTTCTCATTTTGTGTGATATTGTGTTGTGTTGTAGGAATTGAGTCGAAGTATGACTTTAGCCGATAATGTTCGTAAATCGGCCTTCACCACACCTTCCCCTAAACAGATGTCAGCTTCTCCCTTACAGAGATCTCCATCCCTTCCACGCAGTCGCAGAAGTACGTTTGGGGCTATTGAATACAATGATCAAAGTAGCCAACAAAATGGCTTACACCGTGCAGAGGTTGGTTTCAAATTCGAAACTTTAAACTAATTAACTAACACTAATAAAAGGATCCATGTATATCATTAACAAAAATAATGGGATCAATAATGGCATCAAAGTGTAACCATTAACAAAAAATAATGGGATTGATGTATAACCATTAACCAAAACTAAAATAAATGGATCAATGTATAATCATTAACAAAAAATAAATGGGATCGATGTATAACCATTAACAACAAAAGAATGGGATCGATGTATTACCATTAACAAAGAATAAATGGGATAGATGTATAACCATTAACAAAAAATAAATGGGATTGATGTGTAACCATTAATAAAAAGTAAATGGGATCCATGTATAACTATTAACAAAAAGTACATGGGATCCATGTATAATAAAAAATAAATGGATCGTTGTATAACCATGAACAAAAAATGGACATTATTGAAGTATTGGTAAAAACTTAATGTCACAGCACGAATATATCATTAAGATGGATGATACTAATTCTAATATACCCTGGGCCATAATCCACAGCATCCGGGAGACGTTATTTTACTCATAATGTTATTCTATTTCAATACACTGGAGATTTTTAATATTTTAATATTATTTTATGCATGTTATGTGGGAATGTTGGTACTTTGCTGTTAAAAAAACCAACTACATTTAGATCATTTTTTTTTAGTGTGTTTTTTTACATCTGCTGGTATTTATCATCAAGTTCTGAATTTTTCAGTTTGGGTGTTGTTTTATTGTGCATGCTAATATAGTGATCTATAAAATATTTTCTTGTTCAAGTAAAGTACTAGATGATTGTCCAAGATCTGTTTGAAATTTGTATTATTCAAATTAATATTTGGGAAACGAGGAAACCTATGAAATTGTAACCATTTCCATTGATTACTTCTAGAGTGATTGCTCACTGTATAGAATCTTGTGAATGCTCTACTGACAAGTTAACATGTGATCTGCTTAAAATTTATATGTGTACTAGAGCTATTCAAATTTTATATCAGTGGACTGAGAAGTCTATGAAATTTCAACAATTTCTGTTAATTACTTCTATAGTGTTAGCACTTTGCTTAAATTGTATAATCATGTAAATGCTCGACAAAATTCTCATGCGATCTGCTCGAAATTATATGCACTGTTCAGATCAGTAAGGTTCTAATGCTTAACCACATGGATTTTCTCTTGTTTCCTTGATCACCTAAAGACTACTGTGTGCACATGAATTATTGAAACATGTGGATGTTAAACTCTGTCAGAATGTATTATTATTATTATTTGTGTACTTTCAGTCTTATAATCCATTACTGGTCACATCAATATATCAACTTTCACTTAAAATGAAAACCGATATGGATAGAATCCTTCACAAATTACAAGATGACAATAGATTGACATCTACACCCTCTCCTATTGATGATTTCCTTGATCAACCTGGTAAAAGTGAATTTCCAGCATGGAAGTCAGCTAATCAAGAATTGGCAGGAATTTTGAAAAACCTACGACGCATTGAACACCAAAATCATGGTAGGTAATACCTGTGTATTTTATAATCTCTTAGACAATTTTGGCTGATTTGAGATTAAAAGGCTTAAATTTGCCATTTTCAAACAATGACGGATATTAACATTTAATTCTGAAATTCAGGAATAATTTATTTCTACTTAGAAGGAATTCTAGACCAGAGCTGTGGAACAATTAACCTCAACATATTCACAATAGGAAAACAAAAGTTTCAAATCACAATAAAGAACTAATGTGTTCAAACAACCTTTTATCTAGACAAAATTCTATATATTTACTGTCCAACCTCGTGGGTTTTCTCCGGGTCCTCCGGTTTCCTCCCACTGCTAAAGAACCTACGCGTAAGCGAATTATTGAAATAAAATTAAACCATATGTTAGTCCCGAAATGACCTAGTTTGTGTCGAGTGGACGTTAAACCCCATTTCTCTCTCTATATATATATATTTACTTTGAAACACTTTGAGCATGCTTGTGGATGGATTTGGCTCAAAAAATGAATATTATTATTAGTCGAATTGGTTAAATTTTGTGATAATATAGGAAGTGAGACTCATTTTTTATAACATTGACAAAAGTTTCATTCCTTGACACTTAACAATTATACTTCAGTTACTCCCAATAGTTGTCTGATCAAAATAAAGAGTATCTTTTAGACAGCCAGACACCGATAAATCAAATGAAATTAACATCTTTGTCATTTCTATTTTTAGCTGTGAAAGCTGTTCTATTCCCTGATGAAAATAATGTAGCAGATATTTCTGGTGTGTCGCATCGAGAGAAACAAAAGTATTTTCAACAGATCAACCGACTTAGTCGAGAAATTACTGAGTTTCAACCGATTGACAACCCAAATGATAATTGTTTTGACGAGGACACAGAATCTCCCGATATGGCCGAATGTGGAGAAGTAGAAGAAGAAGAATTTTATTAAATGTTTAAACAACTATTAATATAAACCGGTTAATGTATTCACGTCTATGTATTTCATGTCTTCAGTTTAAAATGGCTTCAATTTACCTCAGGTAAATGGCTTCTCATCTTCATTTCATGCTTGTTTGTTTAAAACATTTATAATGTCGTTTTGAGTATGGGATAAGAATATATTGAATGGTGAACAAGATTGATCAAATTTATTTCTGTAAATGTTATGTCTTGCATAATTTAATAGTAATTGATATCAATACCACTTCATCATCTGAAAAAATCGAGCATATCTTTCATTTTGTGTAGGGTTAAAGGTCAAGTGTATCATAATGATTATTATATGTTGGGAACTTTATTCAATCTGCCCCAATGTCTGCAAACATAGCAGCTTTTTCTTCACTGCTTTTAAAGCTATTTATTGTTGTAATTTATGAAAATATTTTTACATATTCCGATATTAGATATTTCTGTAAACCTGTTAAGTCTGCAAATATTGATATTAAAAGTAGGTATATATATACTACCCAGTTTTTAATGACTATTACACCCACAGGATTCTGTGATATATGTTTTTGTTAATGATTTTTGTCATTTGTGTATCTTTAAAAGGGTGGCAAGGCAGTAGGAGAGCCGTTTTCCTGCGGCAATAAATACAGGTCTTGAATATAATATTTCCACCATATTGCCAAAATAATGTGAACCTTAATCTTGATTTAGGCAATATGATCCTCAATCCTCATGATAATGGTGAAATTAATTTTTGTGAGTACCCATTTCTTTGGAGAAAACAGATTGTGGCACTGCGCAAGTGCAGTTATTGAGTTTAAGTCTGGTTTTCCCGTTCTATTGATCCCACAAAAAATAAGTAATTTTAAAAGCTCCCATTGTCACAGTTTGTTATTTAAAAGATAATGTCTTGTCGCCCTTTAATTGAAAGTACAATGTGTATAGATGACAAAGAAACCTATTTTAAAAAGAAAGGAACTCAAGTCAGATTGTGCAATTGATAGTAATTTGTCAGTGTATTTATACTATATTTAAGTTACTTGTATATGAGAGAAAAGAAATTCCCCATGTCTTTCTGTGATAGTTTTATATTATTATAATTATTATTATTGATATTATTATTATTAGGATTCTTTTAAAAGATTTGTTATTTAGGTCGGCCAGGAATGAGAAATATGAGGCATTTTTACGAGCTAATGATTATGGTTAATCAATTTGCAAATCCCATTCAATCACGTTTACGGCAAAAATTATACTGATTGGTTTAACATAACTGTCGATGATTTTACCACGATGATTTACAAATTAATTGTGCAAATCTTCCAACTTGATCACCAGCGGGATTGATGATTAGTTCATTTTCTTTGAATTTCACGTAAAAATCCCCCTTTTCATGTAATTTCTAATACGAATATGGGGCGTTAGGGAACAGATAACTGGTACAACTTCTCTTTTTTTGAGGAGGGCTGTGTTTTCAAGAACAGAATCTAGAAAAATGAATTTTTTTACATTTTTTCTCAATTTTTCAGTCTTCAGCCATCTTGTGAGGCAACTCGTCGCGTTTGCAAGAACCGATTCGAATACCAACTTGATACCTAATCATGTACAAAACGAGAAAAAGCAAACGAAACCAATTTGTTTTCTCGTAAAAACGCCTCTGATTAAAGGGAAATATCTAATCCTTATCAATTTGTAATATTTATTATAAGGTGGACAGCCTCATTCTATGTTTTATATTCTGTACAAGATCACTTGTACGGTGAATCATTTCCCATTAAACACTATCCTGGTGTCCATTGGAAATTTTAAATATACTGGTATCGGTGAAGTTGATTTAAAAATTACAAAAACAATAGGCTAAACTTATAAATGGTTGTGTTTTGCCCTTGTATAGAAAAAATTTTGGTTTTGATCCCTTACCAACAATCCGCAGATTGTGTACAGAAGATAAAGCATTTAGAATGGGAGGTTCCTGCTGATATCTTGTATAAATACTTAAATTCATGTACTGATTATGGATAAGGGGAGATAACTCCTTCATAAGGTAATATTTTCCATTACATTCTTAATTGAATTATTATGTGGGGTAATCACAAGTATGCAAATGTATATTTATTTATGTACAAGAAGTGGATTTATTATAAATCTTTAAACTGTGACATTAAATAAGTAACCAGTTTTATTGTTAATGAATGCATTAGATATTAGATTCAGTATGCATAGATATTAAATAATCTGCTAGTTAAAAACAGTGGTCTTCATTTCTCAACAATATAATCGCTACTCCTTACCAGTTTTGGCTGTTAAAGCTTCTCCGGATTTTCCAGCCTGGTTTGTCCTTTGTCTGAGATGAAAAACCAAGGTCCTTTGAATATCATTGGCAGCACGTTAAAGATCCCTGGCAGTCTTTAGTAGAAATAATAGTTGACCGTATTGCTGCTGTTATGGTACATTTCCTCTCTCATAGTACAATACAAGACGTGCCCGTCGACATTGGCCAGGTTGGTGCAGAAAAGTGAGACTTAAAACCTCATTTCATTTTATCACAAACCAATATGATCATGCTTGATGTACCAACCACTAAATTGTCAGATTAAATTTTCATAAGACCCAAGTGTTTAATGTATAATATATGCCCATGTATGTCGCAAGTAATCCATTCCATGGCCTGGCTCAAGTACTGTTTAATAATGTATACGTATGTATGTATGTATTAGATGTATATAATTGTTTTGTTTAGCTTCATGTCTGTTGTATAATTACAGTTTATAGTCCGCTTTTAAAAAAACATTCATTCATAAAGTGTTGTTAAAATTTAATTCAGTGATACAATTGCAACAAAAGATTCATTAAATTATGAAATAAAACCATAATGTGGTTGTAATTCTTTTGTCAATTATGAATTTGGCTTATCAGAATTGGATAGTCGAGGTGGCTCATTGGGTAGGTCTATGACTCGCTAACCTGGAGGTCTCAGGTTCCAACCTGGTGTTGGTCGAGAAAGGTGCTGAGGTGAAGCACGGAGGGCCTGGCAAGGAACAGTGTCTAGTCAATCGCATGGGATGAAAAAAATGGATCCTTTGTACACCTTGGCGTGCACAGAAAAGAGCCCTTGACAGTTGAAATTCAATTACAAAACTGTCCTCAGAGTCAGAGCACACTGAATGGTCTATGCCTGTCTTCATAACCTTGGGGGTTACTTAAATTGTTAATCTGGAACGTTCCTCGTGACATAATCTAGTCTTACAGCTATGTTGATTCATTGAGATAGGAACATATTCAGCTGGCGCAACACAATTGAAACCTTTTGCCTGATTGGGTAAAATTTAATTCTGGAACCTAATGATTGTCTTGATTTCAGAAAGTAGAGGTACTGTCTTAAAGATACATTATGGGAGATTAGATAAAGAGTTGACAGTTCTCGCTATAATAGTTAAAAACTAGATAATGTAAAGGTAATTTGTTGAAAATTTCAGTCAAGTTGGTCCACTATGAACCGAGATATCAGCTTTGTAAATTTCCGTCTAGCCTCGTTCATCTTTACTAAAGTTAGTACGTTAAAAAGCATAGTCTCGATTATCCATTGTTTTCATTTAATTATCAATGAGCGTTTGCAGCATATAGGATTCTAATCCAGTCGATATCGAAGGCTAGTCTTGACATCGAGAGTTGATTATGGTCTGGACAAGTTAATTAATGTCTAATTAATAATTTAGATAAGATTTCAGGCCTAAAAAAAGACCTGCGATAGGCAGATTTAGCTCTTGCATAATGCGTGTTTAACAGGAAGGGAAAAAGTGAGGCCAGAACACAGTAATTTAAGAAAAGTCAACCTGCTTAATAGAACTACTTGAGGGAGGCACATTGGCTCAGTGTGTAAAGTTGTTTGGATGGAACGTAAAACTGGAGGGCCTGTGTACATGTTGGCATACATGTAAAAGAAACCATGACAGTTTGAATGAAGAGTAGGCAGAAATGCCACAACCCGGGCCCTGATAGCACAATTTCCTTCATATCCAGAAAATTAGGATGTTAAACTCCATTTCACTTCAGAACAACAGTAAAATGGGTTGACATACTAGTTAATATTTTCTGGTAGCCTTAACCATTATGAAATATAGAATAATATTTTCTGGTAACCTTAACCAGTATGAAATATATGGAGTTCAGACTAGATGTATCTGTGCCTAATTTGGATACAGTTGTAGCATACAATGAAGGGCAAGCTTAGTATTTGAATGTTAGTACATTTCTATGTGTCTCTAAGAATACTGAAGAACAGGATTCATTAGAAATAGCCCTGAACACTTAGATTTTACATTGATAAAGAAATAAAAATAAGTAGTTTCTTAATTAAAACATTAAAATCTATTTACTATGCGTTTATGTATGCATTTAAATGTTTTATGTAGTATAAATTTGAGTAACTTTTTCGGACAATATTTATTTCCAATTCAATATGGATTATCCAGTCTCTTCAATTTGATTATGTAAACAGAAGCAAATGCTATGGTCCTGATCCTGTTGTATTCTCGTGCTCCAATAAATCCACTCTGTATTTTTCAAACTGAATAATGAATACAAGAACAAAGTGAAACATTTAAATTTGTTCAAGAAAACTAAATTTGAACTTTTATTATGAATTCATAAATGGTGTACACTATATATATACATATATGTACAATTGTATGGAAATATGAAAAAAAATAAATCAACAAATTCAATGTATAGTACAGTATCATTCAACAACCGTTTTTCTCTAAACTCTAAGTTATCTCCCCTTCACAATTCTACTGGTGGAAATAAGATGCATTAAAACATTGCTTGAAAATAGTTTAAAGCTACAGTACATTATATAAAGACTTTCTACATGAAATTATGAGCTATAATAAAGGAAAATGTAAAGATCAAATGCACATGAAAGAACAATTTTTCTACGCCCACATTGAAATTACTTTGATTTTATGGTATAATTACACAGTATTTAAGATCATGAGACGAAGAGGCTGGTAGATTTTTCAGCAATTTCCGATAATGGCGGCCATATTTATGTCCATTGATCACTTTGAAAAGTCTTTTGAACACTCTAGAGACTAAAGTTATCATCCAATTCACTGTAAACTAATAAAGTGTTTAACTGTTTATGGTCAGTAGACAAATAAAGAAGCCTATTGGTTTTCAACAATTTCAGATAATTACTGCCAGGGTTATGGCCCTTGTTGGTTGTTTTCATCAGCATTGGCTGGACAATCCGTCTTTTTATATTTTATTTCTTTTTCAGACAGCTAAGAATTCTGTTAAATGAGATTTTTAATTTTTGAAAACTGTATCAAAACTTGAAATTCTGTTTTATCACAACAAAGTTTTATCACCAAAACAAACCAACTAATATTGTGGATTAGAGCATTAAAACTGTTAATTAATAGAAGATGAACACTGTAAATTTCTGAATAGTTTGACTAGTATATACATCATGTATATTGCTACAAAATAACTGACAGGGCGATTTACCCAATATTAATTAAATACTACTAAATACCACCACATACTAACTCATTATTGAGAGAAACTAGCACACTTGTTGAATTATGCAAAAACAAAATTCACATAATTTGTGGAATTAGCAAATATTTACAATAAACTGGAAGAGTCTATTTATAGTATCAGTACCCAGTAGCACAACTGTCTGAAAGACTCGCAAAATATGACCAAATACCTCCCAGTTCTAAACTAATACTACAAAATACTACTTTATGATTATCCAAAACTGACAAAATTCTTCAATCACTTCAATATCAATGAGATAATTCCTATAAAATGTGTAAACATTTGAAATATCAATTAGTATTAGTTATAAATGAAATGGCTAAACATTGAATAAATAATTTTTTTAAAATAAACTAACAAATCATTATCCAATTAATTGTACTTTTATCTCATCTTTTTGTAATATTGGCCTATTATTTTACATAAATGGATTGTTTCTTGATAGCATGAGTTAATATTTGTAAGTATTGGGGGATCAATGGGGATAATAGCGAGACATTGACAATCACGTTTGTCGTACATTTTTTTGCATGTTTTCCACGAATTAACTCAATTTTGTTTTTATATAATTGAAGTATTATATTAGTTTTTGACGATAATGTGGTAGTACTTAATTAGTATTGGGTATTATTGGGTAAATCGTCCCGTCTCAAAATAACTATATGAAAGCAGAAGACGAGTAATAATGATATAAGTATACGGCTGAGTTTTGTGAATTTTTGTGAATAACATCAAACACAACTGTCATATGATTAATGAATAATAATAATTTCATTTCTGTGAGATAATGTGCTCATGGTAGAAAAAAAAAATCTGCACTGGACATTGCACATGTCATTTCTCAACATTTATCAATTACAGCACTTTGAGATCCACTCCTTTTACTCCCAACTGTTCCACGTCATTTCATGATGAGCAATTAAAACAGAAAGCCCTTTCCATAGCTTCATCATAACTGAAATAATAAATAAATATTGTTGTACTTTGAGATACAAGGTTTCAAAGAAGGTGAAATTCTTTTTAAAATTATAAGAAAATACTTCATAATGAAAAAGATAAATGCAGTTATTTCCCTTTTTCTAATTATTTAGCGTTTGATTATATATATGCCATGGTAGCTCAGCGAAAAAATGTTCCAAGGACCGAACCAGGTGTTGGCTGAGAAAATGCCTAGGATATTCAAGTGTGGTGTAGGATGAAGGGCTGAGCAAGGAAAGTCATTCAGAAAACTGAGGTCTCGTGTTGGATATTCGGCGCTATATAAATGATCAATTATTATTATTATTTTATGTTGCAGTGCCCGATAAGAAAAGATAGACAGACAGAAATGAAGTTTAATGTCCATTTAACACAAACAAGGTCATTTCGGGACTAAACATATGGTGCAATTTTATTTCAATAATTCGCTGCATGTAGGGGTCTTTAGAGGTGGAAGGAACCCGGAGGATCTGGAGAAAATCCACGAGGTTGAGCAGACGCCTGAAAAAGAACACTTGACAGTTGAAATTTGATGAAGAAGTGGAAATGATGCTGTCCAGCCAGAATTTCCCTCATAGGACACAGTACTTGGTGCTTGTCAATTTTTATTACCATAGAAAGTATGACGGTAAAGCCCATTTCAAATAGGTATACACAACACATTAAAAATTTAAATCATTTAAGAACTAAATCTAAGTAAAAGTAAAAACATTTTTATAATTATCTTTAATCAAAAATACCAACTTTATTATTTGTTTTAAATCTTTAATGAAAGATAATAACAAATCTCATTTTGTGCAACAGAAAAAAAGCAAAAGAAGAAAATAATTTGAATTATGACTTCATTAAAGAAGCATTATGCAGGTCTTTTTTCTTGTTATAAATGTTATAAAAATCATTATTTAAACATTTATTAAAGGGACTATCCCGATTTGAACAGAGTCTCAAAAATTAAAGTCTGAGTACTTATGAAATTTAAATGCCAAAATATAGAGGAATGGTGTATTTACCTTGTCTCAAACTTTCAGCTCAAAATATTGAGTCGTTTGGACGTGAATGTCAAAACTGCTTATCTGGACACGTAACCCTTTTAAGATTTCGGGTCAAATTTATCGTTGAGTGACCTGATAATCGATTCCCGTTCCTTTAGAGGTCTATACAATGAATGACCCATGTGCTGTACTTGATAACGGAAGGTAAATTTCACCTATACAATTATTTTTATAAATAAAAGTCTGGTTTTATCCAGACCGCATTATACAGGGTGGGACACGTATTTCCATTTCCAGATGAAGACTGACGGGTTTAAGTTGTTCGAAAACGCATCACATAACTTGAGTTAGTTGCTCGGCCCTAAGGTAGAGGATAGAGGATTTTAAGGGATTTTAACACAAAATTAAACAGTTTTATTCTCCAAAATATTATCGGGATTGGCCCTTTAACAAGACAAGCCCATAATAACTCTATGGGCCATCATTATATTCCTACCATTATAAACAATCTGTGCTATACATTTGGTCAAAACTTCAAGCACTCATAAATTTGCACAGAAGAAAATAATTTGACTGAAATTTTCGTTATCTATTTTTGAACTATATGTATCATAGCAAGAACGACCAGCTCTTTATCTATATATTACATAATGGATCTTTAATTAACTTACTTTAATACAGAACACATCTGACAATAAGTGTGTGTACAGTCATCACAGTTTCTGCTACATGTAGAACATACAATCTTGTCACAGAAATGACATCGGATTTTAAGATGAGGTATAACTGGCTTTCTACAACTAAAACAGGCATTGGGATCTGAAAATGAAATAATCAATTTAACTAATAATATAGGTGAGAAAAAAATATGTATAATATCAGTAACAAAATAGCCTTAGATTTCCTAAATATAGAAAGAATTGAACTACTTTATTTTACGTGAGTGTTTGTTAAAACCACCAATGAGTACAATAAGATAATATCCTTTAACTAAAAATCATAAGTCATGGGCAATAACTCTGAAAACATCCAAACTCGATAGGAAAAATCCCCAAAAAGTAATACGAAATCAGGAAATACTTGAACTGTGTATATAAAAAGTATAGTGAGTCTGATTAACACGGGTTTGTTATCAATTGTATCAATCATGGGCCATAACTTTGGTACTGCTTTGGTGAAAATAGAAAGACATCATTCAGGATGATTACAATTGATGAGTGAAATTTCTTAAACAGGTTACAATGTAACCCTTGTCATTATTTCCAAAAGACTGAATATTTTGAAATAAAAATTTTACACAAGATAAATAGGCCATTAGCTTAAATCCATAAACCCACTATTTTTATTGGACTATCCAAATATCATATAAGTGATCATTTCTGATTATTAATCATGCATTACGCAAGAGCTAAATCTGCCTATTGCATGTCTTTCTATAGGCCTGAAACATTATCTAGATTATTAATTAAACATTAATTACCTTATCGAGGCCATAATCAACGTGAATATCTTTAATGACGGTTGATTTAACGTAAAAATGGATAACCAAGACTTTGTTTTTTATTGTACCAACAGTAGTAATGACGTTTGAGGCTAGCCCAAAACTGAATTGCTAATATCTGGGTTCAGAGTAAAGCAATGCAATTTGACTGAAATTTTTAACATATCCTGTTTTTATTATCTATATTTTAACTATTATAGCGAGAACTGTCAGCTTTTATTCTAATCTTCCATAATGCCCATTTAAGGAAATAATTTTTCTGCAGGTCGTGTTCAGGGTACCAGTATGCTTATCTTTCAGAACACAATACATGTATTTCACTTGTATTGCAACTAGGCTTATTTACTATATTTTGAGATCCAAATTTAAAGTCTGCATTGTCAAGTGTCTGGTTGGCCAGAATAAAGAATTACAATGATTGTCTCTCTTTCTGATATGCATTTAGAAATTTAAAATGTTTATCACTGGGGGACTAATTTTAAGGATTTCGCTGTGTATTTAGCAAATTAAAAGATTTAGTACACATCAAATTACCTAAAACAACTATTAGTTATGCCAATTTAGAAGGCTTTTCAGACCACTATGATTTTATTTGAAAAAGATTGCAGCACTTACCTTGTGACTGTTTCTGTTTACCAAACTTAAATTGATTTGACTGATTTTCAATGGACATACACATATTAGAATCTATAGAGTGACTTTGATTAACAGTAGAGGTAGTTGTTAATTGACCATCTTTATCAAAACACATTTGACCGGCAGGTAGATCAGTTGTCATTTGTAACGGTTCTGGTTCTAAAATATGGTTGGAGTTAGCATCAATATTATACACCGATTCCTGTTTTTGTGCACCTTTGAATAATAAATCTTTTGTTTTTTCTGCAAAAAAAAAAGGTAGATTGGCTAAATAATTTCAGAATCCAAAACATTACAAAATTGTTCAAAGAGTCTTGTTCTACCATAAATAATTCCATACAGTGTGATAGTGCTAACAATATGAATGCTACAACAGTATAATAAAGACAAGTTTCCATTTCAGTTGAAGAAAATGGAGTATGCTCCAGCAAACTGATTTGCCCTTGTCAGTGGTGCATGAGGGAGGGCCTGACAAGGACAGCTGTCTTGTCATTTGAATGGCACAAAAAAAACAATTTCCCATTACACATTGACATGCACGCAAAAGATCCCTTGGCAGTTGGAATTCGATATAAGAGTAGGGCAAAATTTCCCTCATAGCACACTGTATGGCGTATGCACATCTTCAATAGTCCAGTCGGAGAAGAACAGTTTGACGTTAAACCTAATTTCATTTCAGTAAACAACTTTGAAGCAAGTGACTAATGAAAACAGCCGGCTAGCTGTTTATGGTACCATAGGATAGGCTACCCAAAAGATATGGGAAACTAAGTGTAAAATAGCATTACACGGGGAACTAAGCTTAAAATACCAGGACACAGAACCAAGGCACTCAATGTTAGCTTACTCTACATGACACATCTGGCCACATCTGTGATGGGAAAGTCAGAAAGTGGAATGCAATTTAGTTTTTGTTGATCATTTAATATATTTGTTTGTATATTCCAATTACTGTGAACTCATTGGACCTATATGCAGATGTCTGTTGAGTGGACAAATCCTGACCCTCCCCTGCATATTATCTTTCCCTTACATTCATCGAAAAAATGTCATGCAATTACAATTAACATGTAAAGCATTATTGCTGATTTCGCCTCACTCCCCTCCACCTTATACATCTAAATACTCAGCGCTTCTCATTCAATAAAATTATCGGGTAGGCCTATAATCCCCCCCCCCCCCCTGACCTCACGCCAGACTTGACGTCACCTCCACCCGGACGCCTCTCACCCACGGCTTAAATTCCTGGACATCAATTATATATTTATCTTTCATAAGTTGCATGCCATAATGTATCTACATGTATCAGACAGACATCAGCATCATCAATTAGAAAAGTTCTGTATCTTTATTCTTTATAAAAATACTTTATGAAATGTCAGTCGGAGTGAGTGAATGACATTATGATTATAATCCCATATATATTACCATAGACTTGCTTCATATTCTGCTGATGACACACGCCCATGTCAATTTCTTTTGTTCCCACATGAGTCTTAAATTGTAGTGGTGAGCTGTCACCAAATGGATTTGTTCTCTTTGGCATCTTGACTTTATTACCCTAACAAGCCCCTGTTGTTTCTCAAAAACAATAGAAGTGTTTAGATTCTCGAGCTGCAAGAATAGCTTCTTCCGGTGCCCGTAAAACAGAATTACCTCCCTTCTCATAACAATCCAGACGCCGAGGATCGCAGTTTGGTGATAGTACCAGAGAGTAAAAGTGTATTTTTACTCTGTGATAGCACACATAGAAATATATTTCTATGATAGTACAGGCCATAGGCCTATTCAAATAATTCGATTAAAGAAAGAAATAATTTTGAAAGAAATTGTTTTCTTCATATTAATAAGCAAAAATAGAGATCATTTCAGTAAATCGATTAATTCAGTTTTCAGTAGGCACGTGGCCATGATCGCAACAAAAACGAACCTTTCTGCCGGCTAAATGTATAATAAATCATTGCCTGTTTGTATTCCATACCGTAAAATAAATGGTCGTTGTGTTTTAACATTCAGGTAGGCCTAGGTGGCTTCAGAAGAAAAAAAAAGAAATTGGTCTATAAACGAATTTTGCTTTAATTGTCTTGGATATTTAAACATTGAAATGAATTTTTCTGGATACCGTATTTATTTAATCTTCTGCATTAACAAGGCAGTTAATTTGTCGCCAAAATTAAACAATATTATTAAATTATAAAAAATAAAATAATTTATGAAAGGATTATAGGCTTAGCATTTGGGGATAGCAAGACGAGAAATGTTTTAGGTTTTAACTAAGTTCCCCCACCATCAAGCGCGCTTCCACGTTGATTTCTTTAGATGCAGTATAGGCCTATTGCCTACATGGGGGAGGTTGGCACTTTCCTTTGACAGTTACAGGAGCTAAATCGCTAATGTTTGAGACATAGAAATTGACACAAATGGGTCGCAACACATATAATAATGTAGCCTAATATGAATGTATATAAATTGATTTACATTCAATCGTTTCTGTTTTTTGCTATAATTTCTAATCAGTTATGTCTCAATGGAATGGCAATCTCTAGAGTCTGGTTATTCCAGTCTACACCGATAATATTTATTGGGCATGCTTCCAGATACGAATATAGCGTCAACGTTTGACATGACTTGTGGAAAATGTCTTTCACCGTTCTTCGAATCCCGTGTTACTAATGATGCTGAAAGGCAGTATGGTACACGATTCGTGTACCGGTGGTAAATTAATGTTTAATTTGTCTTAAATAAAAGATATCAGAAGCCCATCTTTTCCCGGTAAGATCACAACATAAAAAATATACCGTACGCCTACCCACAATATGATGTGCATTAAATTTCGCAGAGTATATGTGATTGATCCCCAACTGCTCTAACATCAAGATTCGCGTTTGGAGGTTTATGACATTTTAAGTTGTTTGTTCACATCTGTTGTAGATATTAATTTTAAGTTATTATGTTAACGGGATTCTTAAATAGAATATAATACCTCTTTCTTGTCAATTAGTCAATATGTCCCCGTCTCTGAAAATAAAATACATAATACATACCCGGTTCTGTAAACTTATTTAGAACGTTGTTAAAGCACAAAGGCGACGATGGCAAGAATTTTTGAGTTTCTTCTTGTTCTTATTCTTCAATGTGAGCTGACCAAAAGTGACCACAATGGCTGTCATTTCCAGTATTTATCAACTTTAAGGAAAGGTAAGATTATTCTATTGCTAGGAATTCCATATTAGTTCTTTAAAGTCTCGATGCGTCATTTTAGTGCCATAGCAATTACTTGCAAACACACCATTGTAAAAGACCTCTGCTCCCCTCTTCTGCAAAATACTATTGATGATTCTTGATCAATACACGCGAACTAAAGAAAAGCCCACACGATTTTCCGACATGATCAGTGATATAAATCGATTTGGGAATTACAAAACTGTGGCTCGCTCTTGTCGTCACAAAAGAGGTTCAGATAACACATCAGATCTAAATAAAGGAGTGTGGGGTAACTCTTTTGAATATTGTTTTATCTTATGATACTTGTTATTTGTACAAGTATAAAGATACATTATGGGAGATTACATAAAGAGCTGGCAGTTCTCACTATAATAGTTAAAAACTAGATAAGGTAAAGGGTATTTGCTGAAAATTTCAGTCAAATTGATCTACTCAGAACCGGAATTTAGCAATTGAATTTTCGGCCTAGCCTCGATCATCATTACTAAAGTCGGTACGATAAAAAAAACATAGTCTCAATTATCCATTAAATTGAGCAGGAAATTGGATCCTAATCCAGTTAATATCGCAGGCTAGCGATGAAATCGAGAGTTGATTATGGTCTGGATAAGTTAATTAATGTCTAATTAATAATTTAGATAACAAATACCTGCAATAGGCAGATTTAGCTCTTGCATAATGTATGTTTAACAAGGGGTTATTATGGTTGCCCACAAAAACAAAAAAACAAAAAAAAACACGGTTACCCACTTATAATTTATTCTTTCAAATATATTTATTTTTACAGTTAATAACCATGCCCAGATGACGTGTTTAATGCCAGCCCATACATTAGATGAAGGAGGTATAACTGATGAACAATGTGGTGTTACCTGTATGTGTAAAAATAATAAACGGTACTGTTGCAGGTGTGTATAAATATCAGCTGTATTTACAATGTTTAGTGCTAAATGGTAAGGCCAGCTCAATTTTTCGTCATAGGTTACGAGATGTAAACAGGGCTAGCGCTAATCCTAAATCTAACCCTGTGCCTAACCAATGCTTAACCTACAATCTCGCCAACAATCACGTGTCCTAACCTTATTTACATCTAGGCGGCCTTGACAAAAATTGGGCTGGCTTTAACAAATAGATTTAGCCATTTACAATTAATTAAAACCATATTTTGTAACCCCTACGATTCGTGAGGGAGGGCGAGCAGAAATTTATATATCCTGTACATGTTCTATTATGAAAAATAAGTTCGATTAAGCCTACGCATAGAACAACCTCGTGGTTTCTATTTGTCATGATCAGTTGTTTTGGTGATAAACGAATTGTCCACAAGAACGGAACGGCGGTGCTGGCAGCACGGGGTAAAACTCACCATTACCCGACCGACGGCCTGTGAACAAAATATGCAGAAGTTACAGTGCTTCCACCATTGTAAACGGTAGTGTTACCGTAGTCAAACCGTGGACTACCGCCTTTTCCGCCAAAATGTTCTCGGTTTGAGAACCGAGGAAAATCTGGATAAACCTTCAATATTGGGAAGGTGTGGTCTACATTTAGGCTTTCTAATTAAAAAGTTACTGAAATTTCTCTCACAGTACACCGTATGGCGTATGCCGGTCTTCATTAGCCAAGTCGGAGTAGAACAGTAGCACGTTAAAGCCCATTTCATTTAAAGATAAAATTTGTCCAAATTCATATACTGAGCTATCAAAGCGAAGCTGTGTGGACAAGTTGTGTGACAAATGAGTTTTATCTGTAATCGATTCAGGTGGTTACAATCTATGACTAAATCCTATGGAAGACCAAATGGGACACTATCCATGATTCTAGTTTCTACATTCCAGTTTGAACATTTTAGACACGAACGCAACATTCTAAACTAATGATTCTTGTTTCTACATCCTTATGTCAACATTTTATGCACAAAATCAACATTTTAAACAAAAAATTGACTTTATGTTTCATTTTCGGCGTTTTATCGGTAACTTTTATGTATCATTAAATATTAAAATTAAAAAACATTGTTGACAAAGGATATCTCCCAAATATAACAATGTCTATTTCCAGATGTTGCATTTCAAAATAATAAAATAATATTGTAGCGGGTCAGTTACCTCTTGTATATAGAAACCTGAATACTTATATATATTATAGTAATATTAATCCATCATGAGTATACATCAGCTCAAAGGAGTTTATTATTATTATAAGACGATAACCGATTATACACAAAATAATTATTTTATTTGCACCACTGGGTCTCTCGCAGGGAGTAATCCTAAAATGTAACCCCCCCAAGCCACGATGACTGCGATATCACTAGAATGGAAGCATGCGTTAAAACGGCCAGCTAGAGATAGAGAGAGGAAGAGAGAGAGAGAGAGGGGTGGGGTGGGGGGGGATTCAAGTGACTACGACGCTGGCTCATTAATCAGGAGGTCCTTATGATGACCGAGAAATTTTTCCTTATTAGTGATATGATATGGAAGGTCTGGCAAGGAAAAAACGTCGTCTTTCGGAGGGGCAAAAAGCCGAGGTCCACCTTTGTACTCTTTAGCATTTCATGAAGGATGAGCGGAAACATCACTGTCTGGGCAAAATGTTCCTAATAGCACATTAAATGGGATATTCAATATTAGACTAGTTGACAAAGTAGAGTGGGAATGATTGAATGAAATGTAGTTTAACATTCTGTGTTTGTGCACCAGCTGGGCTAATAAAGACGGAAGGTTAAAATATAAATTCTGTTTCGTTTCATTACCAATAACTCAATTTAATGTTGACTCGACACTACATTAAATAAGTTAAAATGACCATTTACTCAAATGTTGACTTAAATATAATCATATATTAACTTAGTTATATGTAATTTCATTTTATTTATTAGCTTTTTAGTATGGCCATATTTTATATTGTCGACGCCATTAGATTATAACTAGATGAAGATAGGGGCTAGTATACTATTGTGATAGGGGATAGTATACTATTGTGATAGGGGATAGTATACTATTGTCATAGAGAAAAATATGTGTCATGGTTGTGTTTAATTCAAAGAAAAGTAATATAGTCATCCAGGCACGATGTATTTAATTACACGGCCGTCGATATAACAGTTCACCAAACTGTTAAACATAATCTAGCCAATAAGTACTAAGCCCCATTTAGACGCACAGGCACTGTATGGTTAAACCATAAACCATACTTGTTTATCACTTAATAGCACTCCTCTATAAATCTTCGGCCATTGTTTTACAAGTTGTTGTTGTTCTTAGTGTTTAAGGTCTGCTTCCATCGAAAGTGATATCGCAGACAAGTTTTCTTATTTTCATTTTCATTATCTTAGAACACGCGCAGGGGCTTTTCTATGGGAGGAAACGGGGGTTCAGGGGTAAACCCACGAGGTTGAAAAGGCGTCTCCAAGCCACATACGTTCACGCCAGGGAGCGCAAGCCAGAGGTCACCGGCCAGCTAGAGATCCAAGCTCAACACTCTAGACCGCTAGGCCACCCCGACCCCCCGTTTTACAAGAGTTGTCTATGGGCATTTTATAATCTCGTGGGGGGGGGGGGGGGTGCGATGAGTTGCTATAGTTTCTAGAATGGGGTCGCAACCAACAAAATGATGGGAACCACTGCCATACCCTGTGCTACGACCTACTGTTTTGATATACACAGTACCTCTATACAAATAGACGCTCTAATTTTCAAGACCCTCTGCCCCGCACAACTGACAAGGGAAAACCAGGCAGAAAAATCTCCTGGAACTTTCTTGGTTAGTGAGCCAGCGCCCACTAACTGAGTTAACGTTGGCCATTTTTTTTATGTTTGTGTTGAAAACTTGTTATATACCCCCCAACCCCAAAGGAAAAGCAGCACGCGGACAATGTATAGATATTAACAAATTATATTTCAGTGGTAAACTGGATGGTGAAAACTGCATTGAAATAACAGACCAATGCTTGGAACTTATACTGGAAACTGGTCAAACAGTAGACTTAAGCTGTAGAACAACACGTGACCGGAAAAGACGAGACCTGAATGAAAATGGAGCAAAAGATGTTTCCGAAAACAACGCGGATATGTCAGCTGTAACTCTACCGGATTATCCATATGAGCGGCCGAAGAGAGCAGCAGATCAAGCATTCGAACAGCAGTCAAGATTGCATGCCGTGTTCGAAAAACTCTTTAAGAAATAAATAAAATATTAAATCCTCCATATTAAAAATCCATGGCGTTGACCCCCTTTTTGTTTATTGCTTTAAATGTAATTTCACATTATGTAGTTAGTTACCAATATTATTATTTGATAGTCGAGCATATATCTAGTGCTTGGGTTAAATGAAAAGGACAGTGTCTAGTCGTTCGGATGGGACGTTGGCATGCAGGTAAAAGAACCCTTGACAGAATTCGATATAAAAGTTTCATATTACTGAACTAGAATCAAACAGATACCGTGACCGAGATTAGTTCCACACATGGATTAGGGAGTTGATTACAGGCTTGTCATGTTAAAGTTACAATTTCATATTTTTAAGTTATATTTTTAAAATGTATTAAAATAAAGCCCTAAAATAGATGGTATCTATAAACAGCCCTACCTTGTTAAAGAATAATCCTATTAATCTTATAATTCACTACTGCCAGTTGAGAAATTGGCAAAAATATCATTTTCAACTTTAAATTCAAACGTTTGAAGATAGCTATTCCATGATGGGGAACAGGAAAACAAGGGAGGTAATTGTGTTAATATTTCCGGTGTGAAGATTTTTAAGTGTGAGAAAGATAACCTAAGATCATATAATAGTGAGTTGACAACCCATTGAACAAAAGACATAGAAATAATTATGTTTTGACTTTCTTAGAAAATATGAAATTGTAACTTTAATAAATGTCTAATTAATAATAAAAAAAAGACGTTCTATGGCACGTCCTGTACGTCCGTTCTATTAAATAAATTCTTAGTCAACAATGCTTAATTCCTGTGAATACTATCACTTTAATCGAAATATAACAGCAGTATATCTGCTTCATTACATGGGTTATTAAACATAAAGATAGTGTGCATATTATCACTTTCATTAAAATATAACAAAAGTATAGCTACCTCATTACATGGATTATTGAACGGTCATGTGAATATTATTGCTATAATTATAATATATTGATGTTTTATTACATGGGTTATTAAGTATAAGGTCCTATATACTGTTTTATTACATGGGTTATTAAGTATAAGGTCCTATATACTCTTCATATCAAAAACTGTTAATCACTAGTTTTAACACTATTATTAAAATTTCAGAGTACTTAAAATAACCATTCCCGTTTGTAAAATATAGAATTATTAATCATCAGATTGTGTTCTTTGTCAATCGAGAAGGCTATAAGGCGTTGGTCGCGGTTCACAAGTCTATCATCCATGTATACGTCTGTTCGATCCTGTGATTTTACGCCATGTTGTCACTGTTCAGATCCAAAATAATAAAAAATATTCCATGACTTCATTCTATTGAGAGGAAGTTAAACTTCAATAGAATAGTACATATTGCTTTAAATATGAATCTTATAAGTAGTAACTTTGAGTAATTACAGAAGAGTCCATCTCTTGCTAATAACAGTAACCAACTTTTTTTCGGATTTTGGACATTGTGTTGTTACGATCATTTATTTGGTAAATTGAAGAATGTACTTGAACTGTTAGCCGGAAACAATTTTTTATTAAAGAAAATTGTTGTCTGAAGCGGACAATATCGTATCAAATTCCTGTGGTCTTTTATACCGAACCTTTTCACCGCATAACATCTGTTTAAAGAGACACCTCATATAAAGGGACATGATAATGACGATGTAGAAGTTCTGGCCATAATTGATGAGCAAAACGATGTTGAAAAACCTCCAAGCCTCTCCTGCATTCTCCACGGCTGTTTCATCCGAAGAAAAATTCTCAATAGATTCGATAATAGCGATTGGAAACAGCGTCACTACCGCTAAACAGCATAGAGCAACTAAGCACCATTTGACTTTCTCAGCTTGGCTGACGTTGACTGCTACCGCCTCCGGTGGGGTTTCGAGGTTTACCGCCACTCTTTGAACAGCTCGTTTTACTTTGAACAAGATGATGACATCCAGCACGCAACAGATCAAAACTGGAACAAGCGTGTGAAAAACTCCACTCATTATAAATCTATAGACCTCATAATCGTTCGGACATGTTGTTGGACCATCGTCTTCTTCGTGATCAGTACTATTATCGTGTTGAACCCGCGGGGTCACATTTCCAGGAAGACTCAACAACAAACAGATTGCGATTATTGTTAGACATACTCCATGGCTAACCTTCCTGGAGCAGAAGGCCTCTTTATATTTGGTAAAGAATATGGCTATACATCTGTCAATGGTCAGCGCCAGAACCAACCATGTCGAGGCAAACCTGGTGGTGTCCATAAGCAGTACCCATGGACGACAAATCGGTTCTAGAAATTCATCCAGGATATAAAATCCGTGATCCAGGGTGTCTTCTGTGGCTATCTGCAGTAGTACAATGCTTTGTATCACAGCTAAGTAACTCAAGTATACCGAGAAAGATACGTGTTTCAATGCCGAGCGAAACATCATGAAAAACAAAAATATGTTTCCAACTAAACCGGTTATAGCCACAATATCTACTGCTGCGAGATATACGTACATATAATCCGGCTCATTTCTACCATTATTAGGATCGAAGTCCGGAGCATCTGTTGTATTATTCATACTTTAAGGTATTCACAATAGCTGTTAAAAAATGAAAACGAGAACAGTAATAATTAAAATCATTTTAGATAATTGTAAAGAACCGCCGAGTAATATCGAAGCGTGCCTTTAGATTAATTCTACCATCTTCATCATTGCATTATTTCGGGGGAGGGGGGTATATGGTTAGCACGTGCGCGCTGTATCATGAGGCCTGTCATTGAGTCAACTAACGTGGTTTCGAATCCCCGGTTTTCTCTGGGTCCCCCGGTTTCCTCCCACTGCTAAATACCCCTACGCGCAAGCAAATTATTGAAATAAAATTAAACTATATGTTAGTCACGAAATGACCTAATCTGTGTCGAGTGGACGTTAAACCCCATCTCTCTCTCGTATAGAACAGCAGGATGTTAAACCCCATTTTATTTCAAATTAATCCCGATACCGTCCTTCCTACTTAGATTTTGTCATGCAAGCATTCACAGTGTTGATATTTGAGCTTATAGCCGATTTAGTCCTGTTCCTTATTCATGGGACTCGAGGGGGAAAGGCACCAGTTTATCGCACTACTGCTCGAGCCGATGAAGGCAGGTATAAGCCATGCCAGGAAAGCTGCCTCAAGAGCAGCTTACTCTTATGCCCAGTTCCAAAAGGCAGTGGTTTTATAACGTGCTACCAATTGAAAACCACGGACTCGTTTTCCTTTCCATCCAAATGGCTAAAAAGATTAACATGCTTATGTTAGGCTTACTGAGAAAGAAGATAGAAACAACAATAAAAAATGCAGTCATAAAAATCCTGCGTCTAGCTCTGCACCCAAACATTATAGACCATAACATATTTTACGACTGTCCATCCTCAGTATGTAATGTCATCATGTCAATCCCACATAAGGCCCCTTGTCAATGACCCCAATGCGTGCAAAACACCCGAGCATCAATCGTGAGTGTGCATGTGTAATTCACTCAACAATTATGTAAATATAGGTAGTTTTCATTGTTAAATTACTTACCTTATTTATTATTTAAATCACACAAAGGTATTTACAAGTAACAAGCTGAGTGACAAAAAAATCTCTGCACATAGCCTTGATCACGCTACGATAACTAAAGACTATGTCCCGGGGAAAGATTTCTCTCGTCTTCCTATAGACTCTCTACGTACGTACATTTGGGTGAACCACTAAAGGCCCTCTTTAGTACGACAGGTTAAACGCAAAATAAAGAACTCAGTCATCTGTAAACAGGGATGATCTTACCAAAGAGTTTTCTTGCCAATTGTGAAGAACAAGAGTTTTTATCTCAATAAAGAAATTTTTTCTACAAATACGTCGCACATCACCGGGTCGCCAGTGTTATATCACATAAACCCTTCTCACTGTGTCAAAACGAGTTTTTCCATCTTCGAAATGAAATGGATTGAAAACTATAATTTGTGGTCGAGCGGTTCGAAATCTAGGGACAAGAATCCCTCGTGTTCTCATCCACAATTTTATGTAGGCCGAGAAAACCATTATAGTATCTATAGAGACGCGAGGTACACCCACCGATGTACACATAAAATAACCTTTAACCACTGTGAAATGATCTGCAAATCCCTAGTAGTGGCGTGATCAGCCTGAAAGATGAGGGTGCCAGTGATGTAGGACAGAGCGCCTGGCAAGGGACAACGTATATACATGTATGTTCAGATGGGTGATAAAAAGAAGGGCCAGTGTACACCAATGTGTACATAAAAGAATCATTGGCAGTATGCGTAGCGCCGCTGTCCTGGCAAAACTTCACCTATAGCACACTGGGTGAATTATGCTCGTCTTCTTTAGCACATTCGGAACAGAGCTGTAGGATGGTAAACGCCATTTCATTTCATTTCATTTCAAGATGATGCGTTATTTCGCCGACGAGGTGGGGCTCCTGGGAAGTAATATTAAGGGAAAACACGTCTTAATACCCGGCTAAGTTTCTGGAATTTAGTTTAAACTCTCCAAAATCTAAATGTACCCGCCATTCATTTTTCGTTCTTTATACAACTTGTCAAACGTGGTGATATAGTTAGCCTTTAAAGGTAAACCCTTATATAATATATGGCTACAATGTTTACATTAAAGAATCCTTATAGTTCAGGTGTATTATCATTGTTCACTGACCCAATTGATGTCATTTTAAGTACGATAATAAATTATATAGGGATCTTATCTTAAATTTGATTTAAAACGACGAATCGTAATATTAATATTTATACCCACAATTCTTGGAAAAATAAATAATAATCATTCTTCCAAATATAAATAGTTATTCTCGCAAAAATGAAAACTCGTTTTTACAAAAATGAATAATTGTTGTTGCATGTTCTTGCAAAAAGTGAACAATTGTTCCTGCATGTTATTGCAAAAATGAAATATTGTTCTTGCAAAAATGATTAATTGTTCTTGCAAAAATGATTAATTGTTCTTGCAAAAATGATTAATTGTTCTTGCAAAAATGAATAATTGTTCTTGCAAAAATGAATAATTGTTCTTGCAAAAATAAATAATCATTGAAGAATATTCATTCTAAAATTAATAACCATTCTTGTCGTTCGCGGGTGAAAGAGACATGGTATTCTCGGGATCATGCGGTTGGTTGGCTGAATGGTTAGGTTAAATGCGTTAGGTCAAAAGGTCTGGCATTGAATCAAGTGGTGTGGTTTCGATTCCGCCTTGTAGGTGACAATGAGTAGGGTTGCCTTCCAACTTGGTGGGCTTTCGCCAGGTCCTCTGATTTCCTCCAACTGCAAAAAGACCCATACTCGCAAGAGAATTATTGAAATAAAATGAACCATATCATTGTTAGACCTAATTTGGGTCAAGTGACCGTTAACCCGATCTCTCTCTCCCCTCACGGTATTGCTAGAATTATGATGAATTTCAAATCTTCTAAGTTCTTGTAGCATCCCCTTTCTCTTTCCCACCCTCGCTCCCCCTTTCACGATTTAGGGCTGTCTTCAACAAACTATAAAAAATAGTAGAAAATCTATATGTAATTCTGGTTAAAGCCGCAGTCGCACCTTACGGTCTCGCACGTAGTTGCCCGTTGTTGATCCCATTTGACCGTAGTGTCAACGGTAGTGCCATGTTGCTACGGTCACGTACGGTACGTTCAAGGTAAGGTTCATTACGGTCAACTAGGGTCAACTACTTTCAAACTACGGTCACGGTAGGGTCGTTTCATCCAAGATCACCATTAAGATATTTTGAACAAGTTGAAAATGTTTGTGCTTATCACGGTCAAATTATGGGTTTCTTGAAGTCAAAATTACATCTATGACTATGTTGAAATACGATTAACCACGACGTCTAACTACGTTTAATTATACGGTCAACTACGTGTTTGACCGTAAGATGTGACCGCTCCCACCTGTATTATCGGAAGCTGGATGGTCTCTACCAAGTAATTTGTGCATGCGATCTGGCTGAGAAGGCAATTCTTGGTTTAAGGACCCAGAGTCGGCACTACTTTCAATCAAATACCACTCCGATCTGTATAAACAATAGGACTTATTTTGGCATGTTTTGGGCTTAAATATATTAAAAAGCTTTAGCCATGCTTTAGGAATTAAATTTTCATTTAGACGATCTCATTTCTAGTTTATGAACTTGAAGTTTTCTTTTTTTATATATATAAAATGTGGCGTTTTCCTATACACGAGTCGCCTTATGCCCAAATAGATTCAAGGTTTAAGTATCTCAGATTTTTACAGATCACCATTCGAACGGCATTGTTGTACTGAATCAAACATGTTTTAGCCAAATAGAAACAATTTGATTTCTGACACTATCATAGGCCATCTTACGTGGTATACGGCTTATCGGAGTGAAGAATAGATTATAAAGTCGAGTCATACTTTGTTACATCCAACGATTTCCAACGTAATCACAAGGATCAAAAGCTAATGTCTATATAGATTACTATTTCTCCCTGCGTATCTACAGTTCAAACGGAGGTTATAGGCCTTGGCGGTTATAACCACACTGATCAGCAGTGAATATTCGCTAGGCGGGTTATAACCATGGGGGTGTAGGCCTATCCTTTCTTTCTCGTCTCAATAATTATTCAGATGTGTAACTACTCCTAAAAGAAGAATACTTTTGTGGTATTACATTATTAAAGGGCGTAATACCATTGAAGGCCAACACTAAACTGACGAAATTTAAGTGAGATAGGGAAAAAAACGTATTGGAACAGGAACTGGTTACCTTGCTACTCACCTTTTCTTCTTCTTGTTTTTCTTGGAGCCGATACAATTCGAAAAAAAAAGTCCCAGGGCTCCGACCGACCTGATGTCACTTCTAAAATAGCTGTGATGACGTCATAGTCAGTTCGTGGGCTATAGGATACTTCACGGGTTTGGGTTTGTCCATTGGCGCCATTTTCGGTCATGTGCAGTGACTAGCCCTTTAACGATGAAATGGGTATCTTATGTGTGTCGATACATGATGAAATTGAGAAATACTTGACACATGTGTAAATAAAACGATGAATCTTAATTTATGGATATACGATAAAATGGTAAAACTTGAGCCAAACCTCTAACTCAATATTATCCATAATACGTAAAATTAAAAACATGAATAGAATTCAATATTGATCCATATCAATCAATATTCATGGTGTTACCTTGTCGTGAAAATATGGGATCATGACATCCAATATTTAAGACATAATGAATATTGTATAATTGTACACAAGTCGTGTATTCTATGGTTTCGGGTACCATTTGTAATGAACACAGATAATGCAAAAGTAATTAGTAATGGCTGATCACAAACAACAAAATACTAATAAAGAAAATGGACTAAGTCATGCGCATTTTTAATACCTTAAATCACTGTTCAAAGTTTTAGGGAAGACCCCAGGTTAAACGAAGGACTGTCATGTTGCTGTACTTGGAATAGATTTGATTGAACGGGAAGAATAGACACACTCCCTCAAAAGCCCAAGTATCAGAAGTCAATCTAGCAATCGTTAGAGAGGGATTTCTCGGGCCATTGCTTCAGGAATATGGGACTAAGTAGGCATAAACGACTTTCGTTCAATTTGGATTGTATTTCACCGAACACAATTGATTAGAAATTACTATATCTTGTTTAAAAATAGAATATAAATCACTTTATATACATTCAAATTTTGTTTAGTGTACTTTTAGATCCATTTCTGCCTATTTTAAGATTCCGAAGAATGAAGCCATGCGCCCTTTAATATATGGGTAGATGAAGAAATGGTATAACTTAACTTATCGGAGGACAAAACAATTGAAGACCGCATCATGCTGTTACTGTCTAATGATAATTAAGTTTCGGATGTAATTGACGGGTAAATTACCGATGATGAAATTAATTTCTCTTTTAATATATCTATGGTGAAATATTTGCGACGGCAATACAACTTTAGTATAAAATCGGGTCTGGATTCAGAAAGTCGAGGTGTGGTTAATATATTCTGCTATTATAAAACAAGAAGTTGGCTTCTATTATTTCACATTTTTGTCAATTTAATCAAAAGGTTTATAGACACCAAGTAGTGAAAAATGATATGGTTGGATGTCTCTGTTGAGAATATCACGAAATGGGAAACTAGTAATATTGATATGCTCTGACTATCAGGGTTCATACATATCCACCATGATATTCATTTCACATAAACGTTAACAAGACAAAAGGTCAAGGTCGAGCAAGTGTTAAGCTTATACTGGAAAATATATGCAGAATATTGATTTTAATTAAATAAAGGAAATTCATAAATTAATGCAAATATATTGATGGATCATGTTGGAAATTTAAATCATCATATTTATAGTCATCATACACCAGATATAATTATTATCTTTTACATTATATAAAATTATTCACCATCAATAGAATATGTTGCGAAAAAAATAGATACCTTTTATTGCAATATTAATATTACTGCTATTGTTTTGTGTTCGTTAAGTGTAGTGTATTTATTTTTTATATATAATCCAATAACAATAGTTCGCTTTTTAAAACTGGGCAAAGTAGATATAAATTTGTATAAATTTGACCAATCTACGTTGTTACAATTTAATTATGATAAAATCGATGTATTTTTTTATGAAAGTTATTATACTAGTTACCTGAAAAATGTAACAGGTGTTAAGCAAAGGGCGCCACTATTCCAATTATTATTGCTTAAATTTATTAACGATTCCTACGAATACAATTTTACTTCTTGACGGGCGGTATAGGGACTGCTCTGCGTGCACTGTAGCATAAGTCCCAGCATTCTTTCAACTCAGATTCGTACGTGCGAAGATTAGTGTCGCCAGTCTAACAGGATGTCCCCCCCCCTTCCCCAACCAAACACACATACACTCTTCTGAAGATCTCTGTGCGCAGGCGATTTTCGTTTTAAAAAGCCGGCACTATGTTATACATCCTCCCCACCTTACCCCCTATCTCTCCATGTTTAATTTGTTTGCATTTATTAGGAATTATATTCAGTAAACGATATAACCTTACACCATATTACAATGTATATCAGTTCCATAGGTTACAAGAGAAGCGATAACTTCAACACATCCATTAGAAACACGCATGATTAGTAATTAAAACAATTTCTAATGCATCTTGTAACGAGGTAAATGAAGACACACTAAGTACCATAATAACAGAGGTGTCTCCTTTATTCCTCGAGAGTATTTATATACACAGTTCTTCTTCATCAATTGTACGAATTTCTATATTTACCAACACCAATTAAAATACATAAACGCTATCGCGCTGGAATTAAACCTTAAACAGTAAAATATCGGCACTTGGCCTAAACATTAACCCGTGTTTAAAACAGCGTTTTAAATTTCATTTGTTATGAAATTTTGTTAAACATACCTTTAAACCGTAACATTTATACCCCATAAAAATAAAAATCTAAAGAAAAGCATTGTCATTTGGTGATAATATCATAACTAGTTCTTCTTGCTGTTTATAACGAGCTTTATCGCGGCATATCATTTGCTCAAATAGACATCGCATATACAAGGACATGGCCATAATGATGTAGAAATTCTGCCCGTAGTTGACAAGCAAAATAATGTTAAAAAATCTCCAGGCTTCCCCTGCATTCTCCACTGCCGTTTCGTTGGAAGAAAAGCTCTCGATAGATTCGACTATGGCGATTGGGACTAGCGTTAGCACGGCCAGACAACAGAGTGCCACCAGACATCGTTTAACTTTTACGGCCTGGTTGGCACTCAATACGGCTGCCGAATCCTCGGGGTCCACATCTATGTTGAGCACGACACGCTTCAGTAGAATCAATATGACGATATCCAAAACACAGCAGATTGAAACCGGAACAAGAGTATGGAAAATGCCGGCTGTAACAAATTTATAAACCAACAGATCGTTTGGACAAGAGTCAACATCGTCACCGTCGTCATTGTAATCACTGCTGTTGCCATGGTTAATTCTTGGAGTCACATTGCCTGGAAGACTTAAAGCAAAACAAACCGCAATGGTAAATATGCATATTCCATGACTGACCTTTCTAGTACAGAAGACAGCCTTGTATTTAGTGACAAATAAAGCAATACATCTATCCAAAGTCAAAGCAAGTACCAGCCACGTTGACGCAAATCTTGTCGTGTCCGACAGCTGCAACCACGGTCGACAAATAGGTTCCATAAATTGGTCCAGGACATTAAATCCGTGGTCGAGAGTGTCTTCCATGGATGTTTGCAAGAGTACAATGCTTTGTACAACGGCCAAGTAGACCAGGTAAACCGAGAACGAAACATGTTTTAACACGGAACGAAACATCAGGAAAAACAGAAATATATTCCCGACCAATCCAGCTAAAGCTACGAAATCTACTGCTGCTAGATATAGGTACATCGACTTTGGCTGACCATCACGGTCTGGAACACCACTTTTGTCAATCATCCTGTATTTACGACAACTGTAATGAAGAAAACACCCATTTATTAGTATAGCATCTAAAGTTTAATTTTGGAACTTCACTTAATAGCTAACATATTTTCTTAAGATGTTGGGATGTTGACCAAATTTGATAAGGATCCTTTCTTTATGCCTCCCCAAAATTCTCTATCATGTTCATCAGCTTGACAAAGTCTGTTAAAAACGTAGCCTCTATCGTGTTGACAGTTTTCGGCGAAGAGTGAATAATTATCGATAGGGTTCGTCCTCTCATAACCCCAATTCTTTACACCAAAATTGAACAAGCGCGGTTGCCATGCAAGATACGTCCACATTTTGCAATGCATGGACGAAGAACAAGGAAACCAAAAGTCTCATCGTCTCATTGTTCCAATGCGTCACATATAATTACAGAAAGTATGTTTAAAACTATAACCTGTATCTCGTTCACAAGTTTTTCGGAAAAGGAGAGGGGGGCGCTTCGAAACAGAATGTCATGGATCTCTGCATATCGATAGAGTTCGTCTCCTCTCACGACCCAAATGCTACACAAATTTGAAATAAATCCGTTTAAAACTGCAGTCTCTATCGCATTAAGCAGGTTTTCGGAGAAGGGACGAACTCCGTAACGGAAGGTTGCAGATCGATGAATATTGACAGAGTTCGTCCTCTCATGAACCCAATGCTTCACACTTAATCTAAAAAAGATCTGCTAAAAACGGTGACCATGATCGCATTCACGTTTTCGGCTAAGGGGACATAACCCTGTAACGAAATATCGTTAGGGTTGGCCCTTTTATGACCCCAATGCTTCAAACAAAACCTGAAAGGAATTTGTTTAAAAATATAGCCTTCGGAAAAGCGAGCATAAAACTGGAACACGCCAAAATTAACCCCCACAAGATCCTTTACGTGACAAGGAGTAGGGTCGCATGTACAACATCGTCGGTTTTCTCCGAGTCCTCCGGTTTCCTCCCACTGCTAAAGACCCCTACGCGTAAGCGAATTATTGGAATAAAATTGAGCCATCTGTTAGTTCCGAAATGACTTAATTTGTGTCGAGTGGACGTTAAAGCCTCTCCTCTCTCTCTCTCACTCACTCACTCACTCACACACACACGCACACTCACTCACTCTCCCTCTCTGTATTACAGGATGTGCACTATATGCGTAAAGGGGAGCGACCATTTTGTCAGGGAGTTTCTGTACGATTTTCACGAAATTTGAACTCATCTATAATTATGGTATAACGAAGATACATTGGAATGGTTTAAAAATCAAATAAAATTGTGGACCACAGGCTAAAACGAAATTTTCGTACAATTAGGGGTAAAAATCCAGGAAGTGACGGTCAGATACGTGTTAAAAACTGCGGCCTCTAAACGGCCCACAAGTTGAAAACGTAATTTTGGTAATAGAGAGAGAGAGAAGTGGGGTTTAACGTCCACTCAACACAAACTAGGTCATTTTGGGACTAACATATGGTTTAATTTTATTTCAATAATTCGCTTGCGCGCAGGGGTCTTTAGCAGTGGGAGGAAACCGGAGGACCCGGAGAAAACCCACGAGGTTGGACAGGCGACCCTACTCCTTGTCACGTACAACCGGGGATTCGAAACCACGCCAGTCGACTCAATGACAGACTTTATGATACAGCGCGCGCAAATTTTGGTAATAATCAGGGATAATAATTCATGACGTGACGGTCCGACACGTTCCAAAACAGGGCCCCTGCTGCCAGATCTTTGAGAAATAACATATATTTTAAGTTTCATCAAAATCGGACAAAAATTGTCACCTGTGGAGTGTCAACAAACAAATGTGAACTAACGGACAGGGACGACGACATAATGCGTTCACATAAAACCCCCACCCAGCTCAGCTACATACAAAAAATGTAAAATAGCACTTTATGAGAAAAGTGTAACGGTCGTGTGCTTTATCCTTTATCACCAGTTGGTGGGATGGGATTGGCATTCAATATGCGAAATAATGATATAGACAATGTGATCCTATTAATTTATTATAAAAATTGACGTCAAACGGGATGATGGATTCTCTCTTTAAAAAGCTCAGTGTGTATGTATGCCTACGTAATTGAGAGACGATGATGGCAGCATGCATTGTCAACTGTCAAATTTCCTTAACAGGAGCCTGGCAAACCCCCTCCTGCAAAAATTCCTGGATCCGCCCCTGATCTGCCCTCTGTTATATTTTGATTTAGGGGTGTTTTAAAGAGTATCCTTTCTTTGCCCCATTGTCCCAAGTGACCTTCAAGTGACTTACATGAAAATATTAACACTACACCGGTCCTACACAATATCAAAAGATAGTCACACAAGCGTGAAAATGAAATACGGTCTAACGCTCTACTGTTAAATACACCCATGGACATATACCCATGGCAGCGTTTACCAAATTTGAAAAGTTGTCTTGCAGCGTTTACCAAGTTTGATGAGTGTAGTCTTTATGCCTCCAAACTACAGAACAGAAGGCGGCAGAACGCTGAATATCGAAATTGTTCACCCCTTCGTGTCCTTTATGATTAGAAATTATATAGGCTCAATCGCTAAAGGTTTTCGAAAAAAGAGGTGGGGTAACTCCGGAACGGAAAGTTGTTGAAAGTTGAAAATTGAATTCGGGAACGGATGGTCACGATTTGTCCTCCCAAGGCCCCACAATGCTTCGCATTGAATTTGAATAAAATCGTTTAAAAAAACTGTAGCCTTTATAAGATTTTCGGAGGGTAACTCGATAGGGTCTGTCCTCTCATTACCCCAAATGTTTCACAGTCAAATTGAAAAATACATTATACTCCATTGCGTTAACAAGGTTTTCCGCAACCGGGGCGCTGAATATCAACAGGTTTAATCCTCTCACTACCCTAATAATCAACAGCATCAGGTTGAAGAAACTCCGCTAAAACTGTAATCTCTATCGCGTTAACAAGTTTTTCGGAAAAGGAGCGGATAGGATTTGTCCTATCTTGAAAATAATCTGTTAATTTCGGGATAAACATATGGTTCAATTTCATTTCAATTACTCGCTTGGAGTGGGAGGAAACCTGAGGACCCGGAGAAAACCCACGAAGTTGGAGAGGCGACCTTACTCCTTGTCACGTACAGTCGGGGAATCGAAACCACGCCAGTTAACCCAATAACAGACCTTACGATACAACACACATGCGTTAACCATTTACACCACCTCCCCCCACAAATGTTGGCGGACATTTGTGTACAAAAAACACAAAGATGCGAAAGTACACTATTTTTATTTTTCAGTAAAATCAAGTCCATCATGGATACCTTATCAGTGTACTTCTAGCAGGATTATGTTCAAAGAAACTGTAGCCTCCTTCAAACAACCAGTCATTCTCTTTTCATCATACTTTACTAAGTATTAATGAATTAACTGACGAGAAATACCCTTTCAGCATTTTGATCAACTGGCCATCTGAACATTGGCGGCCGTGCTCATTTTTGCCAAAATGCCAAAATTCAACGGGCCGTAGATTTGGAACCGTTAGTTTAGGAGCCAAAATAAAGCATTTAAAACAAATTTCAATAAAACCGAAGAGGGTATTTTGACACGGAATGACAGTCCTTCACGTTTAGGGGGAGCTTTCGCTCCTGCTCCTCTCGACGCACGTCGGCTTTCCTTCGAAGGAGTCATTAAATACTCCTGCAAATAAGCTAAATCGCTCTCCTAAATATTGAGATTAATAAACTACTTTCACGTTTTTGTTTACTTTTAAACTGCATATATTCAAGGTATCAGGAGCTTTTTATGTCTCCCGCACAATTTTATAAACATAAAGGACTGGAATGGCCCCATTGTAAAGTGCTACCATCTTAACACATGACACAATTATATGGAATACAAGTTACTTGAAGAGTTTATTACAGCGACGTTTCGACGAGGATTCTCCCGTCTTTATCAAGCAAAAAATAACCATCATAGTGCAATGAGGATATATATACAAAATATGGAACAAAGACAAACATCTATATACAATCAGAGATAACCATTTGGAAACCATCAAAGGGGGTGGGAAGCCATAAGGGTAGGTCTAGTGAACTATGTACAAAGAAAACATGGTAATAAAGGCAGCTAGATTGGTCGGTGACTATGCTTTCACAGAACGAACCTACTAAAGGACCATATAGAGAAGCCATATTGTGAAATAACATGAGATTATCCGGTACAAATCAATTAGGCATTTAAAAAAGTTGAATGCATGGTTTTAACAAAATTGATATACATAAATTGTCTTAAAAAAATCCAGATTTATGAATATGTTTAAGAATTGTAAAAAAAAAAAAAAAAAAATGAAACCTATAACATATAAAGGATATACAAAAAAAGGTTGGTTGAATGAAATTGTTAAGATAGACGTGAAAAGCATTGGGTGTTAAGAAATTCAATAAGTATATGTATAGTACTTAAAGTACAAAGTAATTATGCAAAAGAAATTCAATAAGTATATGTATAGTACTTAAAGTACAAAGTAATTATGCAAAAAAAAACATGTGAAGATTCATTTGCAAAAGCATTTTTGAACATTGTGGAACAATTATGAACATAGGGCATACATGCTGTGAGAAATGAATAAAAGAAACCGTATTCATAAATATAAAAAATAACCAGGATTATTATTGTGAATGTAACTGTATGGGAAATAGGGGCCTGTGGCTTACTAGTGTAAAGAAATCCATAAATGTCTTGGGGGAATAATGTTCAAAAATGCTTTTGCAAATGAATCTTCACATGTTTTTTTTGCATAATTACTTTGTACTTTAAGTACTATACATATACTTATTGAATTTCTTAACACCCAATGCTTTTCACGTCTATCTTAACAATTTCACTCAACCTTTTTTGGTATATCCTTTATATGTTATAGGTTTAATTTTTTTTTTTTTTTTTTTACAATTCTTAAACATATTCATAAATCTGGATTTTTTAAAGACAATTTATGTATATCAATTTTGTTAAAACCATGCATTCAACTTTTTTTAAATG